CCGGTCCAGGTTAAAATAAAAAGGGAAAAATCTCAAAATCGTTGGACCGTTCGGTCCACTACGTGGAGTCAGTACAGGTAATCTGAGTGGTCGTCTCTATAATAATACCGGTTGACGAAGTGGAGTCAGTATTATTATAGAGAAGGAGGGTAGAGACTAGTACCGGTAGACGAACTGAGTCAGTACTAGATGATACCGAAAGGAATGGTACCTGATGGTGCCGGTGGACGACTTGAGTCAGTACTATCAGGTATCGAAAATGTATGGATTAATGATAATGTATTAAAAAGGGTTAATGAGAAAAAGTTAAATGGATAAAAAGGAAATTCTTGTATTGAGAGATTAGTTGGCACCGTTCTCCATGAGAATGGGCTCTCCGGGCTCAACCCGAGCCGCCTCACTAAGCATTTTGCTTAGCCCTCCGTTGTTGAATTTTTCAGATCCCAAGGAGCACGAGTAGCGCACTTTGGATGGCGACGACTTTGTGAAGGCATCATTATGTACGGATAAATAATTCTATTTTGTACGTTTTGGATTGTGGAATAAGGTTCCGCGTGGAAACGGTTGTGTTTAATTATGTGTTGGACATGTTTTGTTTTCGAGAGACGTGTGATGATTTTATTCCGCTGCGTGTTTGTATTTAAAAAAAATGATTTTTAAATTCCCGTACTTTTGGTTTTATTGGTTTTCGTCTATGTGGCATATCCTGTTCACGGGATGCGGGATTCGGGTGTCGCGACTTTTGGTATCAGAGCAACGTTCTATCCACGGGAAAGAACGACTCATACCCTTAAGGTTTTCACACTGAAAAGTGTTTTTCGATAATCATTTTAAAAGAAAACTGTTTTACAAAACGCCGTACATAATGACGTTCTACTAGTCGTCGTTTGCTAAGTACAACCACGTGATGCAGTGAAATGGCGCCACGGCGCACTCGGTCAATCACGGGAGACAACAGCGTACCCAACCATGACCCCCATACTGATGGATTCAAGGAGTTCCAAGAAGAGATGAGGAATGAATTGAGGAATGAGTTGCGTGTGTTCCAAGAGGCGATGATGCAAACGCTGAGGGCTCATATCCCGCCTCCACCACCGGCGGGGGAACCGGAGCCAAGGGGGGAGGACTTACCCTCCACCACCACCTGTGGACCAATGGTCAGGGAGTATCTTCCTATCATCCGGGAATTGCGAGCCATGCATAACCCCGCGTTTCGAAGGCTCACTGAGTCCGGAAGCTGCAGAAGAGTGGCTAACTACCATTACTTGAGACTTGGAATATGTCCAATGCCCTCATCGCCACCGAGCTATGATAGCGAGCCATCACCTGGCAGGGCAGGCTCGACACTGGTGGGAGAAGGTAGTGCAGGAGATGCCCGAGGGACACCGCTTTACCTGGGAGGAGTTCAAGGGGTAATTCGAACACAAATACTACAACCACCAGGACCAGGAGCACCACTTTACGGAATTCTTGCAGCTGCAGCAAGGGAACATGACAGTTCGCGAATACAAAACGGAGTTCACTCGTTTGCTAACCTATGCAGGACATCTGGTACCTACGGAAAGCAAAAAGATCCAAAAGTTCATTGCCGGACTACGACCCTATCTTCGCAGGAAGATAGAACTCCACGAGTACCCCACGCTCGGTCGCTACATCAGCCAACTGGTGAAGGCAGAGCGAGGAGAAAAGGAAAAGAAGGAGGAGCGCATCCGAGATCGGAGCCCTTATAGGCGATTCTCTGACACCCGACCTCCGGGGAAGACCAGCCAGACAGGTCAGAGCAGCCAGTCACAGGGCAAGGGGAAAGCACCTGCTGGTGGTGCACTATCGCTACCACCACCTTACCGGGGACCACTGACCTGTTTCCGATGCCAACAGCCGGGACACTTTGCGGCCAATTGCACCACACCTACAGATGCATTGTCTATGGCCAGACAGCCGCGACCACCACCGAGGGCTGGAGCAGCCCCGAGAGTTTATGCTCTTGAGGCTGAGACAGAGGCATAGGAGGAGGAGACCAATCTCGAAGATAACGAAGCTGCCACTATCACAGGTACCCTTCACCTTTGCGATGTTGAATGCTATACATTGTTTGACACTGGGGCTACCCACAGTTTCTTGAGCTTAGAAAAAGCAAAGAAACTAAGTATGGAGCGAGTAGATACGAAGAGCAACTTTACTGTTCGCACACCATCGGGAGAGATGCTTCCGGTACACGGAACCTTACGAGGTGTATCGCTGGACATTTGTGGTCGTAACTTGGCCGTAGATCTCATAGTGGTACCGATTGTCGGTTATAGCATCATATTGGGCATGGATTGGTTGTCGAAGCACCGAGCTCAGATTGATTGTCAGAAGAGAACCATATGGTTTATGGATGCAAGCGGTGGGTTCGAATTTCGGGGAAGAGGAGCACCATCGACAAACCCCATCGTTTCGGCACTCAAGGCCGAAAAGATGATCAAAAAGGGGAATGAAGCATTTCTGGTAGTCATCACCGCTACCAATGAACTGGAACACAAATTAGAGGATACTCCGATTGTTCGAGAGTTTCCTGATGTCTTCCCCGATGACTTGCCGGGATTACCGCCAAACTGAGAGGTGGATTTCACCATTGACGTACTACTGGGTACTGAACCAATCACCAAGGTTCCGTACCGGATGGCACCGATAGAAATGGCGGAGTTGAAGGAACAGTTGAACGAATTGATGGAGAAGGGATTCATACGCCCTAGCGTCTCGCCCTGGGGAGCACCGGTGTTGTTCGTGAAGAAGAAAGATGGGAGCATGAGATTGTGCATTGACTACCGTGGACTCAACCAGGTGACTATCAAAAATTGGTACCCGTTGCCGAGAATTGATGAGCTGCTAGATCAATTTTAGGGAGCTAAATGGTTCTCAAAGATCGATCTGCGATCAGGATACCACCAAATTCGGGTTAAGGCCGAGGATATACAAAAGACGGCGTTCCGAATTCGATATGGACACTTTGAGTTTGTGGTCATGCCATTTGGACTCACGAATGCCCCCGCAGTATTTATGCAGCTGATGAATCGCATCTTCATGGATTACTTAGATGAGTTTGTCATCATATTCATCGATGACATTCTTATCTATTCGCCAGACCCCCAGACTCATGAGGATCACTTGCGGAAAACACTGTGGAGGTTAAGGGAGAACAAGTTGTATGCGAAGTTTAGCAAGTGTAGCTTCTGGTTACAGGAGATTGGATTTCTAGGACATGTGGTATCCGCTTAGGGAATCCAGGTAGATCCGGCTAAGATCGAGGCAGTCATAGACTGGAAGCCCCCAACCTCTGCAACCGAAATTAGGAGCTTCCTCGGTCTCGACCGAAGGTTTGTGGAAGGTTTTGCTAAGATAGCCCGACCCATGACGAAGCTCACCGGGAAAAACATTAAGTTTGAATGGACCACAGAGTGCGAGGAAAGCTTCCAAGAACTGAAACAGAGACTTTCCACAGCACCGATCTTGGCATTGTCGCGTTCGGGATTACCATACGAGGTTTACACTGATGCCTCCAAACAGGGAGTAGGATGTGTGTTGATCCGAGAGGGACATGTCATCGCCTATGCATCGAGGTAATTGAAAAAGCATGAGGAAAACTAGGACATGAAATTAGCAGCGGTAGTGCATGCTTTAAAAATCTGGAGGTCCTACCTATACGGGGAAAAAGTTAAGCTTAATACGGATCACAAGAGCTTGACATATGTAATCACTCAGAAAGACTTGAACCTAAGACAACGGCGATGGTTAGAACTCATTGCCGACTATGATCTGGAGATTTCTTATCACCCGAAAAAGGCTAACGTAGTAGCTGATGTCCTCAGTCGGAAGAAGATTCTATCTGTCATCCGTGCCATGACGTCGTCCCGCGTCAATGCTTCCGAATTGGTAGCTATGCTGGGACATTTGACCTTGACACCGGAGGAACCGACACCGACCTTTGCAGAACGAGCGGTCGCTGCACAGCGTAACGATCTTTTGCTTGTTCGATACATGGATGGTATAGAAGAGTACGGCCGTAAGGGATACCGTATCGATGAGAAGGGAGCATTGCGACTGGGTAACCGACTATGTGTGCCAGACGACCAGGTGTTGAGACGGGAGATATTACCGGAGGCACATCAGTCCAGACTAGCTATACATCCCGGGGCGAGTAAAATATACTAAGGATTACGACGGTGGTACACCTGGCCAGGAATCAAGAGGGATATAGCTGAATTTGTAGCAAGATCCTTACCTGTTAGCAAGTGAAAGCGGAACGACATATGCCAGGTGGTAAACTACAACCGTTGGAGATTCCGGAATGGAAATGGGATTCCATCGCGATGGATTTTGTGGTTGGGTTACCGCTTACTCCAAGTAAGAAAAATATCGTTTGGGTAGTTGTGGACCGATTAACGAAATCCACTCACTTCGTCCCTATTAGACAGGAGTACACGATCGAGCGATTGGCACAAATATATGTCGATGAGATTATACGGCTGCATGGAGTGCCAAATGAAATCATATCCGATTGAGATGCTCGATTTACATCTCGTCTATGGAAGGCTATACAGGGAGCGTTGGGTATAAAGTTGAAGATGAGCACAGCGTATCACCCCCAGACTGACGGCCAGTCGGAACGAACCATCGAAACTGTGGAGGACATGCTCCGAGCATGTGTACTAGAGTGAGGAGTTCTGTGGGATCGGTACATGACGTTGTGTGAATTCGCATACAACAACAGATCACGCGAGTATTGGGGTATCACCGTATGAGGCACTGTATGGAAGGCCATGCAAGATGCCACTATGCTGGACCGAGATCGGCGAACGCAGAACATTCGGACCTGAAATCGTTGAAGAGACGACGGAAGTGATTCGGAAGATTCGCGCTAACATGAAGACCGCACAAGACCGACAGAAATCTTATGCGGATGAGAGAGGTAGGACTTCACTCTGGAAGTAGGAGACCAAGTCTTCCTTCGAGTCCAGGCAATGCGAGGGCATGCGAGGTTTGGACAAGGTGGGAAACTGAACCCGAGATACATCGAACCCTACCCGGTGATTGCAAAAGTAGGAGCTGTAGCGTATCGTCTTGGACTACTATCAGAGTTGGGAAACGTGCATGACGTATTCCACGTATCAATGTTGCGGAAGTATGTGGCAGATCCTTCCCATGTGATACAACTGCAGGAATTGGAGTTCACCAGTGCTATGCGTTTTCGGGACGAACCGCTACAGATCGTTGACCGGAAAGTCAAGAAGGTACGAACCAAAGAAGTACCGCTCGTCAAAGTGGTATGGAGAAGTCAAGGGGTTTCCGACATGTCATGGGAATCCGAGGAAGAGATGCGTAATACTTATCCCCATCTGTTTGTTTAAGTGTTGTAACCGACCGAATAAGCACGATTGTACTGTAATGAATCGTTATGGAACTTAATGAAGGTTTTCAAATGGATTATGCATATTCAGAATTCGAGGACGAATTCATTTTAAGGGGGGAGGATTTGTAATACCCCGATTTCCGATAAATTATTTAATTTAATTTCGGAAATAAAATAGGGTAAAAACAAGTCTAAAATATAAGATGAATGGCATAAGTAACGAATCAAAGACAAGTGGGGCTAAAACGCGTCGGAAACGTTGAAAAAACAAAGGAAGAAGGGGCTAGACCGATCGGTCCAGAGGTAGATCGACCAGTCTAGAGAAAAATGGAGAAAAGATGAAAAATTAACCTAGACTGATCGGTCCAGAGTGTAAACCGATCGGTCTGCACGTTCGCAAGTCAGACCGAACGGTCTAGAGCCAGACCGAACGGTCTAGGGTCTGGGAAGGAAAATACCGAAAAACGCTGACTTTCTTCCACTTTCGACCGCAATTATTTCGCGGCATACCGACCCTACGCGCCACCAGCCGACACCCCTGTCTAGTGCGCGACACAAATGGACCCCCTGACCTGTCTTAGGACCCAAAATCTCGCGGAAAATCCGTTATTTTAACCCCCCAATAGGCCAAGTCGACCATCTGTGATCAGAAATCCGAAATCCGAAAAAGAGAGAAAGTGAGAGCGAGAGAAGCCGATTCAAGGCGAGACGGTCTGGGGAAAACAAAGAGGGACATTATTAGACACGTTCTGGAGAGTTTCACGACACGAAACGACCTGAAAAGCTCACACAAGCTCGGACAAAAACACATATCGCAGAAAAACCGAGGTGAGTGGTTTGAGTTGTGTTTGCAAGATCTGATTATCATGAATAATGGTGTAGATTAGTGTTTCTACAAGAATTAAGGGTTTAGGAATGATAAATAATGATTGGGTAGCAATCGAAGTCGAAATCGGACCAAAATTGGGTAAAAAATGGCGGAAATCGGGTTAGATCTCGCAGAGAAGACAAAGTTCAGGACCCAGACTAATCGGTCTAGGCCTAGACCGAACGGTCTGGGCCAACGTCATGAGCACGGTCTGAGATCCACGTAGACCGATTGGTCTACACATATAGACCGATCGGTCTAGACCAAAAACTTGAGAAAATCGAATTGGGGCGACGTGCAGTGATCGGTCTAATTCCAATGTAGACCGATCGGTCTACATACATAGACCGATCGGTCTAGACGAGATTTTTAAGGGAATCAGACCGGTACAGGGAAAAGGGATGAAAACCGAAAAAAAAAGGGTGTAGACCGATTGGCTGTAACCCCGACTATAGGTCCAACGGATCAAGTTATGGTAAAGGAATTAAGTTGTGATCAAATGAAAAATGATAAAAACAAGTATGTTAAACGAATGTACAATATATGGATGAATATAAAATGGGAGAATTGAACCACAAGCTGATGAGAGTATGAAGGATTAATCCAAGAGAAAAACTCGGAAATAGTAATAAGGAAATAAGAGGGTAAATAATTGTATGGGAATGCATGTGATGCACCCGTGGAGATGATTTGACGGCACCGGTATTACTAATAGACCTGATGGGTCGAGCTATGACTTGTATACATGTCTTGGACTGGTGCTACCAGATCCGTGTGCTATCCTATGCGTGTGATGCGCGTAGAGACGATTTGACGGTTACGTCCAATGACTTATCATCTGGACTGTTTGTGCTTGATGCATGCGTTATACACGGTGATATGAGATGTTTGAGCATGTATATATATTACTATGTGTATATCGTTGCTTGTGCTTGGCCATTTGCAATTTGAGTATGATCTTCGGGTTTAACCTGAAGTACTCACTAAGCATGTAGCTTATGGACGTTGTTATGGAATGTTTCAGACTCGAAGCAGTTTTGGCAGCGGCAGGACGAGGGTACTGGTGACGCGTGAGGATTTTCTGGATCATGTACCTTTCTTTTCTTGTACTTATGTTGGTTTGTTACTAGCGGTGACTCAACCTTGTTTTATATCATGTTCACCGTCTTTGTAGTATGGTGTGTATACTACGGTACGTGGGTTTGTGTTGTGTAAAACTACTTTGCGCTGCGTATGTATAATATAAATGTTTTTAAAAATTCCCGCGATTTTGATATATGGTTTGAGTTTAATATATGGTTTGAGAGTCCATGTGGCGCAACTCGTGAGCGGAACACGGGTTACGTGTGTCACAATAATAAATTGGAAAAATTTGCATAAATATACAAAAAAAAACGCCTTCGCATTCTATACTTCTACTATTATAATTTTTGTATTCTATACTTTTTTAAGTTAAATGACCATCACACCTTTCTATATTATTATAACATACAGATTTCCTGCATTTATAAAAGAACACTTGCATGAATTTCGTTTTCCTCCACATACATGAAAAAACGCTTATATGTATTTTGTTTTCTTATATAAGTATAGAAAAACACTTGCATGGATTTCGTGAAAAACCACTTGCAGGTTAGCAGGTGCGACAGGTGTCGTAGTTGACCTACCGCAAGCTGTAGGTGTCGAAGAAGACCTGCCACAGGTCATCTGGCAGACCATAGGTCATCCGCCGTAGGCTGTAGGTCATTTACCGCAGAGCGTAGGTCATTTTTCACAGACGGCATGTCATCTTCTATAGTTTTCTTTTACAGATAATTCATCAAACACCTTATGTCCATACAAAAGAAAGATCAGAATATCACATACAAAGAAATCAAGCAGAAGAATATTTGAATAGATTAGACAAACTTTAACAAATAGAGGAGATAGAGAAAGTGTTGGAAAAATAAGATCAAATAGCAAAACATTCCGATTTTTAAAAGATAGATTGTCATCAAAAAAACACTTGCACGAATTTCTTTTTTCTCCACATACATGAAAAAACGCATATATGGATTTTGTTTTCTTATATAAGTATAGAAAAACACTTGCATGGGCTTTGTGAAAAAACACTTGTAGGTTAGTAGGTGCAACAGGTGCCGTAGGTGACCTACCGCAAGCTGTAGATGCCGAAGATAATCTGCCATAGGCTGCAGGTCATCTGGCAGACCGTAGGTCATCTGCCATAGGTCGTAGGTCATTTACCACAGAGCATAGATTATTTTTCACAGACGGCAGGTCATTTTCTACAGTTTTCTTTTACAGACATCTCATCAAACACCTTATGTGCATACAAAAAATAATCAAAATATCACAGAAAAGAAATCAACCAGAAGACTATTTGAATAGATTAGACAAACAGTAAGAAATAGAGGAGATAGAGAAAATGTTAGAAAAAAAAAAGATCAAATAGCAAAATGTTCCGATTTCTAAAAGATAGATTGGTACGAAAAAATACTTGCATGAATTTCGTTTTCCTCCAAATACATGAAAAAATGCTTATATGGATTTTGTTTTCTTATATAAGTATAGAAAAACACGTGCATGAGTTTCGTGAAAAAACACTTGTAGGTCAGCAGGTCATCAGGCTGCATGTCGTAGGCGACATACGTGTCGTAAGTCACCTGCGACATGTCACAGATGACCTGCCGTATGTCGCAGGTACCCTGTCGTAGGCCGCAAGTCATATACTAGAACCTGCCACCGTTTTCTATTTCAGAAATTTCATCAAACACCTTGTGTGTAGAAAATAGAATGATCATATGAATACCACAGAAAAAGAAATCAAGCAGAAGAATATTTGGTTGATGAGATAAATTGTAAGAAATAGAGAAAATATTAGAGAAAACAGAAGGACAAATCTCAAAACGCACTAATTTCTAAAAGAGAGATTATCAACATAATCGCAGAAAGATATAGTCGAGAAGATTTGGTCCAACCAGCAAAAGGATCGAGAGAATGGGTAAAAGGATAGGGTCGTAGTTACCGTTAATTATTTGGTCGCGTTTGCATTATGTTCAACGGTCGTAATTATAGTTAATTATCTAGTCGTATTTGTATTATATTCGTAGTATAATCATGGTCGTAATTATCTGATCGTAGTCATAGTTATATGGTCATAGAGAAATCACGGTCGCAATTATCTGGTTGTAGTCGTAGTTATCTAATGGTAGTGAAATCACAGTCATAATTATCTAGTCGTAATCTTAGTTATATGGTCGTAATGAAATCATGGTCGCAATTATCTAGTCGTATTCGTAGTTATCTAGTCGTAGTGAAATCACGATCATAATTATCTAGTCATAGTCATAGTTATATGGTCGTAGTTAAATCATGGTCGCAATTATCTGGTCGTAATCGTAGTTATCTAGTCGTAATCAAATCACAGTCGTAATTATTTGGTCGTAGTCGTAGTTATTTGGTCGTAGTGAAATCACAGTCGCATGCCGCAGGTCGCAGGTCCGCAGGTCGCAAGTGCGACAATCCACAGGTCGCAGGTCTGTAGGTCCGCAGTCGCAGGTGCGACGAGCCGCAGGTCGCAGGTACTGCAGTTGACCTGCCAGATGCCGCAAGTGACCTACCGCAGGCCAAATGATCTGTTGTAGGACGTATGTGCCGCCGGTACCGTAGATGATCTACTGCAGGTGTCGTAGGTCACAAGTGCCACAGGTACCGCAGTTGACCTGTCAGGTGCCGCAAGTGATCTACCTAGGTCAAGTGACCTGCTGCAGACCGCAGGTCATTTGCGGTATATCACAGGTCATCTGCCAGACCATAGGTCATTTAACGCAGAGCACATGTCATTTTTCACAGATCGCAGGTCATCTGCCGTAGTTGTCTGGTGCAGACATTTCATCAAACACCTTATGTACATACAAAAAAAATCAACGAGAAGAGTATTTGAATAGATTAGATAAATTATATAAAAAATAGAGGAGATAGAGAAAATATTGGAGAAAAAGGAAGATCAAATACCAAAACTTATCGATTTTAAAAGATAGATTATCACACAATCGTAGAGAAATATGTAAAGGGTAGTTTGGGTATTTAGAAAAAAAAATATAGTATACAAAAGTTGTTTTTTTGTAAGATTTATAAATTTCGTTTTTGTTTGGGTACATTCTAGGGGTGGGCAAAAATCCCCGGATTTCGAGTACCCGACCCGACCCGAAGGTCGGGTACTCGAAAATTAGGGTATCCGAGCGAATGAGACATGAGATCGGGTATTGGTATTAGAATACCCGAATTTTCGGGTTCGGGTTCAGGTAATGGTTATTATCTCACGGGTACCCTCGGGTACCCGGATAATAAAAAAATATGTTTTAAATTTTAGATTTTTTATTAGATTTTATGTTATTTTATTTAATATTAATGATTATATAGATATTATTGGGATATATCTTTGATGTATTTTTTTAAAATAAAGTTATTTTAGATATAAATACAATTTAAATTTATTTTGAATGATTTTGTGTATGTATATATAAATATATTTAAAAATAATAATTGAAAAAATTACAAATATTTGGGTTCGGGTATCCTCGGGTATCCGAAAATTATCTCACGGGTTTTCGAATTCGGGTACTCGATTTTACGGGTATGAGATCGGGTAATAAAACATGTAACCCGAGATGTTCGGGTTCGGGTTCGGGTACCCTCAAATTTCCGGGTACCCGACCCGTGCCCACCCCTAATACATTCTGCCAACTACCCCTAATAAATTCTTCTACCGTTTTTAATAGTTGACATTGTAAATAATTTTTTATTTTAAAATAATTATCATTTTAGATTTTCTAGATAATTTCCAATTTTATCTTTAACTAAAACTAATCAATTTCAATAAATTTAATAAATATTAATTATATTTCAGTTTTAAATATGGTATAGATTACTTTTTTACAGTTTTTTTTTTTAAATCGTGGAAAAATTAAAACGTTAATTATTATAAAACGGAATACCACGTAATAAAATTATTGACCCAATTTAAAACTTTTCTTAGGTACGCCACGAGTATTCGAATAAATTTTAATATATATTTATATACACCCTATTATATAATATTTCATCGTAATGAATTTGTAGCAAAATGTAAAGAAGCTATTAACGTATATTTTACGGATTTGTTTCTTTCCTTATTTATAGTAGTGTTGTTGATATTTTTCTGTTGTAAGATAAGATTTCATTCTTATCTCTTGCTCTGTATATATATGGAAGCGTACAAAGTGAATAAAGTATCACAAATTTCCCCTTTACTTTTCTAAACGTATTAGAAGCATTCTCGTGTGAGTGGTATATAAATTCATACGTGGGTTATTAATAGAGGATCATAGTATTCGTAAATCTCTCGTCACTATCTCTCGTTCGCTCTCTTCATTATCCATGTTTTCTTCAATATTCTGAGATTGCAACAGACACTTTTGATCTTCCACTTCTTTTGATCATTCCATTTCTTCAATCTCTTTTCGTTCTCTCATCGATTATATTCCTTGTTTCCTTTGATTTTTTTTTAATTACATTGAGTTTCGATTGGTTTCTCTGAATTCTTGTTGGAAATGGAGGAACATGGAGGAGGAGGAGATGTTGACGATGACTATGAATTCACCTACCAGTTGTTAACGAAATTCCGTACATGAAAGTTTACCATTTTCTTTCAGTTGATCATCGATCTGATTTTTCATATTCGTTTTCATATTCGTTTTGCCGAGATCGAGGAAGCATGAGCTCATTGAAGTTGGAAAGTGAAAACTCGATTGTTGGGGATTTTATATTAGTTCGATCGTATGTCATGAATTAATAACTCAAATTCTTTATGTAAATGTAAATGTGTGAGAAGAAAGATACAACAATTTTTAACGTGTAAAATCTTCTTTGTGTTAGGAATAAAAAGTACAGGACCGTAATTTACCCAAAAATTCTGTATAACTAAATTACAACGTCTATACAACTTCTCGTATGCATGAAACATAACCTGAGGTTATATAATATACATGATAATATTCTAACCTCAATACACCAAAAGAACACAACTTAATAAGTTGTAATTTAGACAGCAAGTTAAATTCTGATTGCACCAATCAATGAGAAATCTCATTTTACATTTTACACCTTAAACCTTACAGATCAAAGAACAAAAGGTCTAAGATAAACATCTAATTTTCACCTCAATCGGGGAAGAATCCACCGGCTAATGTTCAAAACAATCAGATCTATCATGGTTTGGTACCCTTAGAGTCTTAGATGAACAATTTCAGCAAAAACTCTGTTTCTTCAATTCTAACCGTTAAAATCAAATTCCAACTGTTCAGAATTAAAAACAAAGAATGTAGAATCTTTCCATAAAATTTCAGACCGGCCAATAAAGAACAAAGATTGTAGAAGAGTGTACCATGAGATAATGGTACCCGATCGATCGTTTGATCAAGATCGCACAAAACTATATTTCTCTATCTTCTCCCTTTCTCTCTTTCTCTTGTGTTTCATCTTTTTTGTTGCTCTAATTCTTCTTAGTTAACTCCCAAACCCCTCTATTTATAAGAGATCTAGCGCCATTTAATGGAGGTGACTAACTATTAATAACAATTTGTCCACCTCTTTTAATTTGTCCACATGAGAAGAATTCAAAATATCGATGATATATTGTAACCATCCCATGGTTCTCTCTTTTGTGGTCGCCGTAACCGCCTCCGTCTATTCCTTTTCTCTGTTCATTATATTTTGTTTCATCGTTTTTCAATGATCCAAATCTTCATCCATTATTTATTATGATCGTGTTCATTCCGATTATAATTCTTTTTTGTGGTGATCGAACGGTGGAAATGGCTGAAGAGTGCTTTGTTATTCCATTGAATGGTTATGTTCGGTTTGATATGGTTGAAATAATATTTGTCTAAGATGCTGAATGTCAAGAGTATATTGTTCGGTTTAGAGTTGGTTAAGTGATTCACTTTTTTCATTTTAGTTTGATATAATTTTGAATTCAAATTTCCCACTCTACATTTTGTCTATATAAAATTTTTGCTGATTTATGAAATCCCAAATTTCCTCCATTTTTTTTTTTTTTGAGTTTTCTTGTTTTGTTCTACCCTTGTGAATCTTTGACAATTGATATTAGAATTTCAATACATTTTGGATTTAGATGAACTTTGGAATTAGTTGAAGGTGTATTGATATTTTGTTAGGATTTTAAAATTATTTATGACTGATTCAACAGATGATGGGCTAAAATCCAATTTTAGTGTAATACATTTCGGATCGCTAAATACCAGACCCCACATGCCACAAAACCATGTATAAAAATTTAATACCTAATGTTTTGGATACATCCAGGTATCCTAATTTTTCCGGATACTTGATCGATATTATTTAACCTGTAAATGAATTGAATTTAATATAAAAACTTTATATATATATATATATATAATCTTTTAAAAACTAGAATTCAAATTAAATATAAAATAATCTAAAATTTGAATTTTTTTAAAAATAAATTTGTTTGAAAATAAAAACGTAATTGAATTCTTATATAAAAAAAATTCAAACGAATATAACTTTTCTAAAAATGAATGTACTAAAAATAATCGAATTTCACAACCGTAACTAAATCTGAAATGTCCGTCCACCCCATTCCACGTCTTGAAGTTAGAACTACCTGCCGTTTTCAGATCCAAGGAACGACGCCCTGTCCTCCCAAATGGCCTCACAGTTGATGATTGCATTGATGTGTAACACAATATGAAACGGTGGTAAAATGTACTACATGACGTATTATGCATAACCATACAAAACATAATAATATATATATATATATATATGTGTATGTATATTACGGGTGTGTTCATGCCAATCTCATAATAAGTATGTTCTAAGACCAAAGCTGAATGGCAAAAACATGTACTTGCAAGAGTATTATCGGGCGGTGAATAAGTTACAGTAAGATGGTCCCGAATCTGAATCCGAATCCAAATTCGAAACCGAAGAACGAATGAGAGGATTGAATACAACACCTTAAACCTCAGTGTAATTGGGGAAGATATGAATCAATCGATCCAAAGTTTCGGGATTGAACTTCCTCGCGAATAAGTAGCACGGCCGATACTCTCCTTTCCACAAGCATGCCTTGAGCGTTGTTTGTTTCTACATAGAATGGTAGCGAAATTCTGGGGTTAATTCGAGTTCATGAATGAGGAGAAAAATTCCTCGTAAAATAAACCAACTTAGGTGTAGTAATGAGACCCCGCCCAATCCACAAGTCCGAGTATCCAAAATTTCGGATTATCGTCCATGGCAGACGAGTATGGGTCCATTACAAGCGAAACCCAACCTTCGAGTTCGGGTTTCAACTGAAAAATGGCCATACCCATGGGTAACCGAAGCGAAGGGAGAGGGGATAGGATGGGGGGACGTGAGGGCGAGGCGAGGTTGTGAGGGGGCGAAATCCGAGGGGACAAAAGGTCAAGACGAGCAGTGAGGTGGAGAGAGTTTTGGGTGATTTTAAAATCAGGGTTCTAAGACTAAGGATTCTAAAATTAGGGCATCATAATTTCGTGGAGAGAGTGGAGGGTGACCTTGCCCCTCGCCTCGCCTCCACCTCGCCAATTGATTCTAGATACGTCTTTTTTATCCCTTCTCGTGACCTCGCCCCTCTTTTCTCGTCATTCCTCACTCCACCACGACCTCGCCCCCTCTCCGGTCGGGTACCGAGCCATCACCACGACTGAGAATACCCGAACCTCGCAAGGCCGAGGTCAACCGTCTGGTGCACTGAGAAATTTGGGTACCCCAACCCATTCTCACCCTAAAACCAGGGATCAGTTTGGATACTCCTGATTCATCATAGGAGGTTTATTTTGACATTAACAAGTCAAGGTTTGAATCTTACCTGTAAATCGCTTGTGACGTGCAAAGAATGACGAATGGACTGTGACCAAGTTAAAAACAATACTCAAGATTGTGCGAGACATGAGAAAATATAGTAACCAGACATAAGACAGATCATAGAAAGGAACCTTGATTGTCTTGATGAGGTTGTAAGTAATGTCTTTGGCACCGTATGTTTTCGGATGCCATTTGCCTTCGGACCAGTCAACGTGTGTCACTGACCAGTTGGCTATTCTGCCCGGATCAATCATCTGGAGGAAAGATGTCGGCAATGGAGAAAATTGTGAAGCGGATAAGCTAAACGATCAGTTAAAAAGACAAAGAGGATAAAGGAAACGAAGATATATAAAAGCAAGAAGTTGTACGGACATTGAAGACAGTCGGGAAATAGTGTTCATCTGCGTAACAGTTGCGTCCACCGTCCATATGTGGCTGAAGTAAACAAAAAAATAACCGTGTTAGTGAACGCAAAGGCGAGTGCACGTGATAAGAATCTATATAATCGAGTTATGCCACATTATAAACTGAGAAGAACACAAACAAGAACTCTATAGAAATTACATGCAGGTTCACTATGAGATCCAATCGGTATGATCCATTAAAATGTGAATAAGAAAATATGGTGGACATGGGTCGCAGGTCAGGTACCCGCGTTTTTTAAGATATCTGTCTTCGTTTTCGTTTTCGCGGGTTTTATAGAAATGCTATCTTTGTCTTTGTCTCGCAACATCCGGGTATCCGCCTAACGGGTACCCATGACTAAAAGATGGGTTACCCACGAATACCCGTGCCCGTATGTACAACATTCATCAATCGAAAATTAAACCAAATATCCAATAAAATCATACATACTTTGATCTAAAAAAACATTTAAAGTTTGAGAATTCTTAAAATATGAGAATATGCATAGATTCCTAGAAAGTTTTTCAAAAATACAAAATAATTTTGAGGGGTTAGAATGATAATAGAAACATTATAAAACTCTAGGTATTTTGGTAAATAGTTTAGAAGTATAAAGATAATTTTGTCTTTTTCATATATATATGAGTATCCATGGATGCCCATTCTCTAAATATTCGTAACCCGAACCCGTCATACGGGTTTTTCACCTTCTAAGTTCTAATACTCGTTTTCGTTTTCATTGAATGTCGAGTACTCTCTTTTCAGGCACCCGCGAGATCGGATACCCACAAACCCACCGCATATAACGGATTTAAATGCCCAGCCATAAGAGAAATCATGGTCCAAATCTGAAATGAAGTTTTATAACAGGAAATAAACTTACCCTGCAATAAAGCTTGAATTTTGAGTAGTACAGGCTATCGGCCATGACAACTACAGCATGTTTCCTCTTCATGGAGAACCACTGATATGCATGAAACAAAACTAGAGAAGTTACAAGAAGTTTCAAGATTTCAAGGCAAACATGAACGGGAAATTCAAAAGGAAATATAATCATTGGGTGACTATGTCTCGTAGGTTCGGAACTGAATTCTTTCCTTGCAAAATCTCGTATTATGGAGATCCAATCAACTCATTATGGGTTGATTCTCTTTAACTACGTTTTTCAATAATGTATGCTTGAATCATTTTTCACGTTTCTCTTTCCGTAGAAGTTTTCAAGTCCATCTTCATCAACTTCTATATTTTGGATATTTCCAGATGCATTCGGTCTCACAACATAACACATACCTGTGAGCCCTTCCGGAAATCCTTCTTTTCAACCTCAGGCAGCATATGTTCTGAATACCGGCCATTTCCGTGTGGACCAGGATCCTCAAAACTGTTATGACATACAACATATGTTAAACAATGGAGAAGGAAAAACAAAAGCAAGATGATAAATAATGTAGATCCAGCTTACCAATCGATGAAGCTAACATTTGAGAAGACCAAATAATCGTACACATAGTTAAAGTTGTAAAGCGGTATGCAGCTGTCGGGTGACAAAAGAGAAAGAACTTGTCAAGTACTTCGTCAAATCCTCTATCATGATTATCAAGAAATACAATGATCCAATCCTCACCTATCGGATAGCAATACGAAGTGCTGATTATCGGAATCTAGAAGAGCATGAGCTAATAGCCTTCTCTCTGCGTCAACCATCGAAATCTGACCCCAGGCCACCTATACAGACCATTAATGTTTTTGAAATTTAAAAAAAGATCATATATACAAGAAGTTTGAAACCATAATATGATACAGGCGGGCACTTATGATTAACTTTACTCATGATAATATTCGGTATGAAGATGAAACAGCTTAAGCATCTAGCCATGGATGCACATCATGTTTATAGAATTCTATATAGAGGTATGAGTTAATGATTAGTGAATCATTTCTATTAATATGAAAGTATATCTGCTTCTCCTTCACATGTTCTACAAACATAAGTTGCAGTTTTATATAAAACAAACTCCATTTACCTTATCACTGTGAATATCTCGACCAACAAAATAGCTGCTTGTGTGTACCGGCTTTGCCTTCGATGCGTGCACATAAATAGAAAACTTGTTCTCGTGTCCCTGGATGAAGAACAAGAGCCACCATTACTCTGATAAAAGCGGAATAATAGAGATATTTGCCATGTTGTGTGTGACCACACCTAGAAAGATATTGCATTTAGGCACGATGATTAAATTTAACACAATTTGAAATATGAATGATAGGTCCGTGTCTATAAGTCAGTCGTTTGGTATGATGGTAAAACCTAAGCAGATTCGTATTACCACTATCTAACTTAAAATTTGAAATAGTATCCACAAAGTTCCAACTCTAGAACAATTGAAGGATCTGCTCAAAGCATCGAGAAAAGTCCAGTAAAAACTTACACGGAAAAACCTTTCCCAGAGCGGCTCAAAGGGTAGTGTCCCGGGAGTTAAGAACATGAAGGCGATTTTCGGGTTTGCTGGTTGAGAGTCGGGCAGATTCAGAATTTCACTCATCACAACCTGAGCGGCAGCCTCAGGATCTGTCAATTCCCTCGAAGGTACAAACAAAAACTGTTGGTACATCGTACAACCGGGACTGGAAAACATATAGCAGGTCAGAGAATTCCTTGGAGGATGTATGTACGCAGTGATCAGAACGACGGTCACCAAAACGACCAGGATGATTATCCATCTCGGGCCCTTAAAATGGGGCCTTTGTCGAGATTCTGACATAACAGGATTATCTCTCATGCCAAACCACCACGCAAAGGTTGTCTTCGTTTGTTGTGTCAAGCCATCTGCGAGCATCACATGTATCGAACCTGTCTTCTTCCTCTTATTTTATCATCTAGCAATTTCTGGACTCCCTGAACAAAAGTAAAAACCTTCAATCGAAACCAAGCTTATGGAGAACCTGAATCAAACATTCGAAGTGTGAAACCGTCAATCAAATTTTCTAGAAATCCTGTCCAAATTTACCAGAAGTATCATCGTGTACTCATAGTCATACCACTACATGAAGAAATATTCAATCCAAGTCTTCAAATGACGGATTTTCTTCGAACATAACTGCAAAATAACTGGGTGACACCACCTTATCCGAGAACAACGAAAACACAAACAGAATCCACCGTTACTTGCAGCTTTGGACACAAAACATGACACCAAGCTGTCCGACAGAACCAAAACAAAAGGCAAATTTTATGCCGACACGCGTGCCTGAGATCGTCATCATCGAAACCATCAGAGATAAGAACAGGCAAACGAGAAGACAATCAAACTAATGCACTCAGAACCAGACGGACCCGTATCAGCTTCCGACATCGAAAGGCAGGGAACAAAACAAACGATTTCGGAAAAGAGAGAAGAAAATCGGCTCCTCCGAGTAATAAAAGATCGAGAATCAAGCTTTACCGATAAGCCAAAGCCGCCGCGTAAAGGAAGCCGAGATTATGAACGGTTACAGACAGCGATTAAGCTGAGCCGACAAAGAATCTCTGTCTCTATCGGAGAGGTTGAAGATCGAAGACTCTTAGAAAAGATGAACTGAGGAATTTGGGATCTCTCTCTCTCCCCCCGAAAGCTTTGTGTCAGTGGTGTCTCTCACAGCAGCACTCGAAAGTCGAAACGGTCAGTGTAGCTCGAGGAACGGTGTGTGTTTTTTTTTATGGCCTTTTTTTATTAACTTGAAATAATTTTTAATAAATATTGGATCGTTGTTAATTTAATTAATATAAGAGTATTTTTGAAGTTCCTAAAATGGTCATTTTTTACTTCTAAAAAACTACGAATGATTTTAAAATTTTTTAACATATAATTATACTGGATATGAAATTATAACTCGTGAAATCTATATAATAATAATATGGATTTATAAATCCGAATCAGATATCAAAATTCGGTTGAAATTATCCACATGTCAGAAGAATGGGGAATTCGAAAACCAAAATATATATCGAGGTTTGTACAAAAGAAAAAGAACAGTGACTATAAAATCTATCCACATGAAAGGGATAAATATATATACTCACTCACAGATGCACCCAAAAAAAAAGAAAGAACAGAAACATGAAATAGTAAAGGAAGAGCGAAAAGTACTTTTCTGCAGAGAGATTCCAAGAAACATCAGACATGACACCTTATGGGCTCTCGTGGCGGCGGCAGACATTCTCGTCGGGAGATACCTGCTCGAGCAAATTGGCAAAAAGAAAATGGTTGATGAGCGTGAGCTGATGATTTCATAACTCCTGCGAGTGCGAGATCGGGTCCTTCGCCAGTGAGAACCCGAGCTTCGGGTTTCGTCGGCCGCCCAACCCGCGGGTAACCGAGCGAAGGGGAGAGAAAGGGTAGGACCGAGACATGGGAGAGGGGGAGAGAGATCTACGAATTGGTGAGGTTTGAGGGCCATTTTAGGAGTCTTCAAACGTTTGCCTGACTATCTCCTCCCCATTTATCTTTCTCGCTGAGAAATTCTCACAACTCGCCGGATGGGTACTGACCCCATCGGGACACCTCGGCTGAGATATCGAGGGTGGGAAGCCTAGGCTGAGGCTAGTTGGTGTTTGTGTTTCCGTTTAAGAGCAAACAGCACTCACTTCAAACACAAACGCAAAAGCTAGAGCTCGCCACTTCTATGATGAATGTTATATTTACATGATTACATTACTGTTCTAATGTGCATCAATAGATTAAACTATACCCATTATTCAGCTCTAGACACAACAAAAGCCGACCCGATCCATATACATTTTCTAGTTTGATTTAATTTCAAAGTCCAAGTTTCCTTACTTCAGAAAATGGACATACCCGTAGTATCTTCACGTGGAATAGAGAATAACACACAATGGTGTCCTTCACTTGTCCGAATGATGACCTCTTTTGGCCTTACGACGACCATGGTGATGCGGGTGTTGTGCAGGCTTCTGTGTCCTTTTGCTGAAGCAATAATAAACCGACAACATATCAATCGGTGCGAAAAAATTGTGAAAAAATCTCCACGACATTTATATAAAAGAAATCAACATTAAGATAAAATATAATGGTGAAGGAACAAGAATGTTTCGTAGCGAGATCGATTAATAAGGAGACTTACCAGAAAAGAGAACAGAAGATTTTGTACACCACATAGATCGGTAGAGCCAATAATGCCGACGCCTGCAGTGAATAGGTTTTAGATTTTATGTTCAAGATAATAGACTCGGGAAAAAGAAAAAAACGAATTTTGGATACCCGATCCGATCAGCGGGTTGGTCACTGGAACGTTATACGAAAGGAGATGGGGTTATAGCATGAAGAAAACCCGAAAATTGGGTTCAAATTCGGGTAATTGTTCTGAGAACGTATGTTACCACATATCCAAATGAACACTGAAATGACATTTTTTGGCCCTACGTTTTAGGCATTGCATACAAACCTACTAAATTTTGGGGTTCGATATCAACTCAAGTAACTTTCTAATATAGGGTATTTATTTTGAAAACATTTGAAATTTCATATCTAAACTCGGTTTGATACCTCCGACCTCAAAACAGATCCAAAAATGGGTAATATCCCATTAAATCTGAGATGTTCGGGATCGGATTTAGGTAACCCGAAAATCTCAGATGCTCGACCCATACCCCGTACCCACCCCTACAAGCAAAGTATCTAGAACCATGGTGTCTCGGAAGATTAGAAAGGTACCATGAACCAAACAAACTCTTTAGTCGCAAAAGTCTCCGTCAGCTCGTGTTTCTTCAATGTCTCTTCGACCTTACCTTGAACCTTCAGACAACAAGCAGAATATATCTTTAAAAAGACGTGTTGATAAACACCACTTCCCTGTAGCAAGTTTCATTCAGATCCGTAGAGTGTGTATGTGTGAATATATATATATATATATATATATATATTAGTAGTTGTCTTTTGCATTCAGACCTGATGGTGATATGTCGAGGCAGACTTGAGAAACTTTTTATAGACGTGGGTCACCTTCTTCGTGTAAGGTTTAATGGCAACCCTAACTCTATCAACATGAGGTTTCGAAGCTGTGGCCACATGATCAATGTATGGTTTGGTGAACTTTTTAGCTTCCTGGAGATTAAACAAGGCATTGACCAGCTTTTATGGATAAATAGCCGGAAAATTTTTATCGACAAAATCATTAACATATATAGAGAGATACCAGACCTGATAATATGGGTCTACTAATTCTTGAACCTGGACAACATGTGGAGTAAGAGCGGTCTTGGATACTTTGTAAGCCTCTTTAGCTTTAGTGGACAGAGTTTGCACATGTGGCTCAATGTATGTCGTAACAGTGACCCATCCCTCCTTTGCAGCTGGGAAGTATTTCTGCAAGCAGTATGTAATAAAATATAGATATTACAAGCCTCGTATTATTCTAGCTTCAGTAGTTTGTGCTAGGGTTGATGCTCGAATAAATCATTTTCTGCTCATACACAAGGCTCAAAGATTCTCCATTCATCCTCCTGCTTGGGAAGAGTTACCAATGCAAATTTCCCAGAGCCGTAGTACAAGAATAATGACAATAAGCTACTTACAGTTTTAATTGTTTCCACATGAGGTTTAGCCCACTTTCCAGCTCGAACCTTAGCTTCTGTTGCCTGATAGACAATAAAACTTCATTAGCAAGAAGCCTTAAACTGTTCAGGGCAATGTATTTCATACATCTTCTGGATTAACCATTACCTTTAGAAGTACTGTGTCCATGGCTGGTTTCCCATGGGCATTCCAGTGTGTCTGTGCAAAAGTCTATGGTTGCAAGACGTACCCAAGTTAAGAAGGGAAAGTCTCTCCCGTTAGGAATGTTCAGCACAGACTAAAGGCTAAAGCGAAGCTTACCTGGAAATTAATCGAGTGAACAGCAAGCCATGGGGGAAGCCACGCACCATGAACCTGGCCATACAATAGAAAAGATTAAAACTTTAAGCTATCCACTGGAATTGGGTTCCGAGGTTAATTTATATCTCAACCAATAAAATATGCAATAATTTGATAGAGAACTAAACCACCCAACAGAAGCTGCATGAAAAAGTTACAGCAAACAATGCAAATAAGATTCCCAACAAGCACACATTCATTCATTGTTCAGCACAGGACACCATACAAATTAGCCATAGCGCACGTTTATCTCAATTGTCAGGTTTTTTTCCTGATGCTTATAACCAACTACAAAGACAAGAAAGATACGAAACAATACCAAACTATTACCTCATGCAATTGTTTGCTCTTCGAGGTTGCTTCATGCTTTAACCTCAATCTTTCTTCCTGAAAAATTATTTGGAACGAACCAAGCGTGAGAGTTGGTATTCGATGTCTGGAGACACTAATTCACTAGAAGGTATCATACCTCAGCAATTTGGAGAGCGCGCTCAATTTTTCGTATTTTGCCCTTCTGCTCATCATTTTTTCCCTGAAGCTGCAACATATGAGACACTACTGTTAATCATCTACAGAAGATTACCACAAAAATAGCACAGAAGATGGTAAAATCAGATGCAAGGGAGCACAATAGAACAAAGATTACAGCGAAGCAGCTATTTAAAACTCTCATACAACTGAATCTATGAGTTAGAGAAAACAAAACAACTTTTCAAAATTCTCATACAACTAGTTCTATGAGTTTAGAGAGAACAAAGATATGAAAGGGGTTGCCTTTTACAGGCGTGATATAACAGGGAACAACCCTAGACCACAGAGATAATGAGGCTTAAGCAAATAATGGTGTAAGAAAAACCAGAAAAGGAAATAAAATGACAACTGCCAAAAGCATGAAGATATCGATGCCAAAAGGTTCAGGAAATCCAGCCAACGACGAAACGATAACATCAACAAACCTAGGCCAGTACACTAGCATTATCAGATTAACAAAATATGAGACTCCAAAAGCCAGGATGACTGTGAAACGGCTAATCAGATAGAAAATGAAACAAGATGATGAAAGAACATACTTTCTCCAGTCTCAAGTTTAATTCACTTAGCTTCTTCTCAGCCTCACTAGTCCTAGCTTCTGTGGATTCTTTCTCCTTGTTTTTCTTCTCTAGCTCCTTCTTGAGTGTCTCAATCTGTAACCAGAAGTAACACAACAAATATGAGAATTCTGTTCATAAATCACTATTCCTTTAGAAAAGTTGTTGTTTCAAATTAAGACTCACCTGACTCTCTAGTTCGGAAACCCGGGCTTGAGCCTTTCCCAACTGTTCGGTAGAATCTGATAAACCCTTTTTCTGGGAATCAAGTGAAACCATATAGCTCAGGTGTAAGCCATGCATAATGAGAGATGAATACAATCGAGAAAAAGTTCATCACTGAAAACAACGTAGACGAAACCAGTGTTGAGAAATCTATACACAAAAGTCCAACGAAAGAGATGGAACTGAAACTAAACTATGCATACCCGCAATGATGAGACCTCAGCCTGCAAGGAAGAAATCTTGTCTAGTCTTTCTTGGAGAATTTTCTCCTTCTCTGCTATCAAATCCTCCTTGCCTTTAAGCTCTTCGGTTTTCTCATTAATTTGGGATTCTTCACCAAAGAAACAATAAAGCTCATAAATTAACAAATTCACCCATCAAATTTGTTTCGTAAATTAATAGTAACTGGGAAAACCATAGCAAGCAATGCAATATCGTAGCTATGGTCTACGATTCACATTAACCACTATACATGGTAACCATCACATAACAAATTCACTTGAATTCAATCCAAAACCCAGTCGTAGCAATCCTAGAAACGCTAAACTAAATCCGTGCGAACTCAGCTAGATATCGATTTCACAAGCCGTAACGTACGAATCCCAAAATCCGAACAAAAAACCAACTACTCAATCAACCGGAGACAGGTTCCAGAAGGGAAAAGAAGCAAACCTAGAGCACCGATCTTGATATTGAGCTGATCAAGCCGGATTTCGGAAACCGACAAACCTCCGCCGTCGGATGCGGCAGACTCCTCGCCGCCGACTCCAGCATCGGCGAATACAACGGAGGAGAAAGCCAAGGCGAGGAGGAAGAAAGCCACAAGCCTCGCGGCCGTCATAACTGGATTAGCCAACAAAACCTGTGGAGGAGGAGGAGGAGGAGAAGTAGATCGCCGGAGATTCCAACGGGAAGATTTCGCTCTATCTCTGTGATTTATTTTTTATTTTCAGAAATTAAATAAACACTATCGCTGGTAGCTTAAATTCGATGAAATGAGAAGAACGTGGCAGTTGTTGGAGGAGTTTTTATTTTTATTTACGCATTTATTTATTTGGGCATTACGGTCAAAGTCAACTACTTATTTGTCGGTCCATAATTTCATGCTTTTCTAATGAACTCGTGGATTTGTATTTGATTCTAACGTCTGCAATATCCAAATAAAATTGTAGAAATCACTTATAAAAAAAATATATATTACGCTTTTTTCTGCAATTCTATGAAACTAAATAGATATTGTACGGCATATATATCATTGGGGCCAATTGAAATGGATGCCAAAAGGGGTCTTATGGTTGGGTGGTGAATGGTGATGTACATAATATGTTCAATATTAAATTTTCTCAATTCCTTTTGAAGCCATTTACCTCGTTCCCTAAAAATTATCTGGGTTATCACTTATCAGAACAATTTAAATGCTGATTCGAGTTTTACGTTATAGGGTTGGGGAGTGGATACATGATCTCGCATGTTCGAGTTTGGATTTCGTTGACTTAAAGAACATATTATCTATGGATACCTATATAAAAAGATAAAATTATCTTATATTTTTAAACTATTTACCAAAAGATGTAGGGTTTTTATAATGGTTTTATTATCATCCTAACCCTTTCGATTTCAAATTATTAATTTGTATCTTTGAAAAACATTCTAGAAATATATTTATATTTTCATATTTTAAGGATTTTCCAATTTTTATTTTAAATTTATTTGTCATATTAGAAATCTTTACCCATCAGTTTTTTTCGCACTCGAATGTACATATGGTGAGCATTGGAAATCGTACGAGCCCCCTTCATATATATATATATATATGATTTTATTATATATTTGATTTAATTTTAAATTGATAAATGTCATATATATGGATAAAGGGTATCCAATGTTGCGAAACAAAGAAACCGATAACATTTCTATAAAACCACGAAAATAAAAACAAATAAGAGTATCTGGGTAGCGTGGTCCACCATACCTACCTTTAGTAAGTTAGAATTATATTCAAATTGAGTTCGATTTTAGATCTCTTGATTTTACAAAATTATAGTTATATTTTACATTAATCAGAAAATTAAAAATATCTTTATTTTAAAAATAAAAATTGTGAATTTGTTTTTAAATTTACAATATATATATATATATAGTAAAATTATAATACTTTTCGACATAAAAAGGGATTTCCAATAGTCTCTGGGTTCAATCTATGAAGCCCATCATTATTCCAAAGCTTTGCAAACGATCGAGATAATCGTTTTCTTTATCTCAAAATAAAGATAAAACGTGTCCATATTCGTCTATGACGGTACGGACAACTAAGGCCCATATGCCTACTCAATGGGCTAGAATATTACTAAGCCCAACAGCATGAGTAAATGGGCCGGTCTGGAGCCCATCCAACAACTAAAAAAAGTATGAAGAAAACACACATATACATGGAATTGGAAAAGCATATATATATGTATATATCACGGCTTGAGAATCATATCCGATACACTTAAATTTAACGGCAAATGAATTTTACGTAACCAAACTTTAGTCTTCCTCACAATCATATTGCATTATCTATTTAAATCCATTCTAACGTTATAAAAAAATATCTTTCACTTCTATTTTGATTTCAACTCATACTCTTGAGATATTGACCAAAATCTATCGCTATATAACCAAAGTCACACTATGATCAAATGATAATCATATGAATATTAAATTTATAGATATCATATCAAGTCATTATAATCACACACTAATCATTTGGTAAAACGGTGAAACAATTATAAATTTAATGTTATAATCAATGTGACAACGATATTACCATAATGTTATTTTGGTCTTATGGTTACTTATAAAAAAAATATATGGGTTGAAATCAAATGAAGGATATTTTTTATATTATCAGTCTATCATCATCACTAATAATAAAGAACAACCACTTTAATTTAACAGTTAAAAAAAAAATTGTTCAACACATGAGAATAAAAGAAAGACGATATTATATATCCAATGACTACTTTATATCCAAAAATTAAATAAATAGTCAAATCTTAAAGAAACGGTGTTAAATACATCTTAATTTATTTCTCTTACCAGTTTTAATTTTTTTTTATATAATTAGGTTTTCTATTTTAATTTGTTTATTTATTTATTTATTATAAAATACACTAACAATTAAACTATTTGTTTAAACGATCCAATTATCAATAAGCACTAAAAATATTTTATAATTTGTAAGATATATAAAGATTACTTACAGTCGATATGAAGATCATTTTTCAATTGCAAGAACTTGGAGACTGTTACATGTTCCTCAACCTACGATTATTTAGAACAAATTTATATGGTTCAAACAATCGGTTACGAGATATGCCTTCATCCAATGGATCATTTTTCTGTCAAGATTATCAACTAGAGATCGGTTGTGTTAATGGGGTAGAGCTACAAACACAATCTGCATTTTATGCAATCTATTTTTCGATTGATTGGTCAGTTCCAATCCTTGGTGCTACTACGCTACCTATTGTTGGAGGAATCCACCGACAATACTTCATGCCATATCCACGCTGAAAACCATAGAAGTTGTAACAGACTCATCATTTGCAAAATGGTTCTTCAACACTAAAAATCATTTTGTACAAAAAAAAAAAAAAGAGCATCTTTTGCGTTAGAATGTTTACGGGATAAGTTTGATCAAAGATTTAAGATATTAAAAATTAAAATATGGAAAATAAAAAAATAAATTAAAAAGAATAAAAAAATTGTTTCTTACTACATCTCTTCTTCTGATTATTTTACAATGAAAATTATTAATCTATTTATAAGAAACAATAACAAAATAACTAAATACAAAATTTTATAAGAAATAATATATGATAGAATTTTAAATAAATAAATAATAATTGACATATTATCATTATTTGTTAATTGATTTTGTATTTTTAGTTTCTCTCAATTATCCTTAACATCGTTAATTTTCAATCAACCTCATTTTTTTAAAATATGTATTTATTTTCTCATTTCAATATAGGAATACCGCTCCTAGCATTAATGTCTGGTGTAAGGGACAATCGGATAAACCGGGGAATTGTTGATTGGTTCCTTCTTGCGTCGAGACGGTAAGTTCATATTGTTTTTTTGGCTAACTGGATGTTTTGCGTCGAAATCCAAACTAATCACGGAATCAAATGGGTTATGTGATTGGAATTACACTCATCTCTTCAACTTGAGGCTTGAACTTGGAATGAGATATAGGTTTTGCATCTTCATTTTACCGGTTAAACTAACGAAATTAAATGGTAATCTCATGTTGTTATCTTTAAAAAAAAAAAACTTCCATGCATTCTCTCTTCTTCTTCTTTTTGGATTCTACTGTTACAAAAGAGACCTATTCTACCATCATGGATTTCCTCATTAGGTTGATTGTATCGGTGATATAACATTTTGTAAAGAAACAATTTTTGCAACAATGATAGATATTCACAATTTACACAAAAACCTTTTTGACAAAATTTATGTATATACATATATTAGTTCGTCATCTTCTAATATAGATTTTCAATCCAACTTTTTCATATTATTAGGTTTTCTATATAATTTCAGAAGTTGTAATAAAAAACTAAATTATTTGTTTCAACTATTCAATTATATATATATATATATATATATATATATATATATTATTTTTTATTGAAATTCAATTGTCATCCCATTTTGTGTTTCTCTTGGCCCAAAAAAAAACCTTTTCGGTTCACCTTTTTTTTTTGTTACTTTTACATGTTTTTCAAAAAAGCCAAACCGACAACATCTCACCCGCCAATGAAAAGGTTTGATTTCTATTCACATAAAAGACACACAATTAATTAAAAAGAATTTTATTTTATTTTCATATTATTATGTTTTTATTTAGTTTTAAGTTATTATGATATTAAAATTTCTAATTAACAAAACTATCTACCCAAACTCACATCTTTTTTTATTCCGAAACTTCATAAATAAACCAATTCCTTCAACGCCACGCATTAAATTCAAATAAAGTTGGAAACGCTATGTTATTTATCTATTTATATTATTTTTTATATCCATATTATTTTAGAATACAATTATCTATATCCAATTTTGTAAATTTGTTCTAGATAAAATTGAATCGAAAGATTTTAAAAGTTCAATTTTAAAATTTAGTCTTTGTATAATTTTTCTAAATTAATTATTTTAAAGGCAAATACCATACCTCGAAGCTATTTGAGTCAGAACCAACTAGCGAGATTCAAAAGAGATGAAGATACAGTGACAACGGCCACAGCACACATCGGTTTAATTAAACTTTTAATTAGATGATTCTCCGACATTTTTATTTCTTTAGATAATCTATTCGGTTATCCTAATACCCTCGTTAATCAAAACCCGACGGTGTGATCAATTCGGTTATCATCGGTTTGTGCCAAACCGAATCAATCGAACAAAACCGAAACCGAGTGAGAGGCTTCACCCTCCGTAACTTTATGCGCTAAACTTGTATTAAATGTACTTAGCCTGATGAACACGTGTGGTTCATCATTTGATATTGTATTTGAATATATAGATTAATTTGTTGTTTAATGGTCCATTATATAGTTTAATTAATGGTTTTAGAACAGAAGCTTTGTTGGCAATTCAGTTAACAGAGCTACCAATCTCTGCTTTAACTCAGATAAAAAAAAATACATAAAAACACACACACATATATATATACGCATACTAGAAAATTAGAAATCTAGGGTTCATTGAGTCAACTCGTGTTCCCACTCACGATTTAACATTAAAAGAGAGAGAGAGAGAGAGAGACTGAAACAACACATGAGAATTAGAGTGCGATTCCAAAAAGCCGACAAAACTAAATTAGGGAGATCATCAGTTGGAAATGACAGGCCAGCATGCTCACCTTAGCATAATAAGCAAACTTTTTTCTCTCTCTTTTTGTTAAAAACATTGTTCTCCCTTCTTCCTTACCTGCGAGAGAAATTAAACAAGAGCTCAATCATACACATTGATTAAAACCCAGATGAAGATCAAAGTTCTAGGTCTCTTTACCTTCCTGTCTTTTGACCTGATCTTTGAACTCTACCAAATCTTGGTTCGCCTTTGAGATTTCCCCTAGCTTGCTCTTCATCGTACTCATGTCCCGTCTCATCTCTCTCATCTCCTCCTCTATTGCTTCCAACCGTTTCGTGGGGATCTCTTCAACTTCTCCACGGTTTCCTGTTTTTGTGACACAGAGATTCCGCGCGAACCCAGAAGAAGAAAACAAAAGAATCGACAAAAAGAAAAGAGACGAACAAAAGAGCAAATGACGAAGAGAGAAGAAGGAGAGGAGGACCTTTGGACGAACACCAACCGCGGGATTGAGGAGAAGGATACAGTGACGGCATTCTCCCTTTCACGAGGCGAGCCCGTAGAATCCTCATGGTTTCTTCGTTGCTTTGATTTGGTGAACAGCATAGAAAATCGGGAGCAGCACAATATACTTATAAACATCCTCCTCGTCTCCTTGCTTGCCTGTGAGAGAGAGAACAAGAAGTCAATCAAATTATGACAAATGCTTAATTAATTAAACCCAAAATAAGATCAAAGTTCTTCAAACATTGTTATTTCTTCAGATTCGGAGATAATATTTTTTATTTTACCTTGGTGTTTTTGAGTCGGGTTTCGTGAGGTGCAGGTTACTTTGAACATCATCAAATCTTGGGTCTCCTTTGATATTTCCCAGAGCTTGCTCTTCATCACACGCATGTCCTGCCTCATCTCTCTCATCTGCTCATCTATTGCGTCCACCCGTTTCGTCAGGATCTCTTCAACTTCTCCACGGTTTCCTGTCTCCGTGACACGAATCTCGCGCGAACCTGGAAGAAGAAAACAAAAGAGTTGAAAAGAAAAAGGATGAACAAAAGAGTGAAAGAGGAAGAGAAGAAGGAGAGGAGGACCTTTGGATGAACACCAACCGCGGGATTGAGGAGAAGGATACAGTGACAGCATTCTCCCTTTATCTTTGAGGTTTTCTTTTTTTTTTTCTTAATTTAATTATATATCAACACGCAAAACACATTATTTACATAAAAATTGTTATATTTTTACTTTACCAAAAAAAATAGTTAATTTTTTTGATTTTTTATTCATCTTAAATTTATTTATCATAATAGAAATCTTTATCCATCAATTGTTGTTACTTTGCTCTCGGCATGCACATATGGCGAGCATTGAGTCCTCTTCATTTATGCATGCATGCATCCATGCCACCGTACATTCTGTTTCGTCTTCTCCAAAAAGCGCGACTTATCCAAAAACAAATTAATTAAGTGTGTCTTTGATTTTTGGGTTTGCACACAAAGACAATATTATTATACACTCAATCGCTACTTTGTGGCAGAAAATCAATAATCACATATAACATATATATATATATATATATGTATAAGTTGTTATGTTTTTTATTTGATGTATTAGAAAATCTAACCAAAAAAAGGAATTATTTATTTAGACTATTTAAATTTTCAATAAAAACAAAAATATTCTCCCACGATTCGTACATTCAGGCGTGAGGTCGTACATTCTGTTTCGCCCATTCCAAAAAGCATGAATTATCCAAATATTAATTGTTTTTTAAAATAACCAACACGTGAAAATCATATCCGACACATTGTGTGTGACCGTTCTACTTTAATAGCAAATGAATTTTACGTAACCACACTTTAATCTTTTTTTTTCGGTAATCTTCCTCTCAATCATGTTGAATTATCTATTTAAACTCATTCAATCATCATAACTAATAACAAAGAACAATCACTTTAGTCAACGGTTTAAAAAAACCTTATTGATGCGAAAAAATAAAGACGATACTATACATCAAATCGCTACTTTATAACCGAAAATGAAATTGAAAAAAATACTATGTTAATTACATCTTAATCTTTTTCTCTCACCCGGATCTTATTATATTTTCTATTTAATTTGCTTATTTATGTATTAGAAAATATAATAAAAATATATACTTGGACATGGTATATATATACAAGTTTACATTTTACCAAAAAAAAATATAATAAAAATACATTATTTATTTAAACTATTCAATTATCAATAAAAACAAAAAATATTTTATAATTTGTGATATATATAAAAATCATTGTATTTAACTTGGGTGTTTTGTTGACAAAATATATATACATATATTAATTCATCACTTTATAATATAAGTTTTCTATCCAACTTCTTTATCTGCAATAGAAATAAAAAAAATCATTTCTATCTAGATTTGAAATCTTAATTTTGTAATCTAAAAATGATTTAGTGTCATATATATATATATATTTCAATTTTTATTTCTTTATCTTTTATTTCTTTACAACTTCAATGGTAATGTTCCAACTTCCAATGTATCAGGTTAGTGGAAATATCACTTAAGTGAAAATATTGGTTAAACGAATCAAAGATCTTATATAGAAAGATATGGCAATTTTCTGATTATTGTACAAGTTTTGGCAAAGTTGTAATATTTTTAGAAGGCTACAAATTGAAATTTTACATTGAACATTTCTACTAGTTAGGGATTATATGAGATTAGCCCTATATTTTTTTTTATTACTTTTACACTCTTTTTTTCCTACCTAGTAAAATGGCCAAACCAACGACATCTCACCGCCAATGAAGAGGTTTTGATTTCTATTGGCATAAAAGACACACAATTAATTAAAAAGGATTTTATTTTATTTTCATATCATTATGTTTTTATTTAGTTTTAATTTATTATGATATTGCATTTTTTTCTAATTAAAAAACAAAACTGCCGACCTAAACTCACATAATTATCAATTAAAACAAAAACAATACAACCTCAGATTTAAGAGAGAGAGTCAAGTTTTACAGAAGAAGAAGATTCATTTTTTCATTTGCGCAAGAGAGAACTTGTAATCGCTCAAAAAAAAAAAAAAGGCTTTGTAAAGTGAATGCTCTAGTGAATTTTTCGGGAACCTCCTCGGCCGTGAGTAGGATCACATTGATCCGAACACGTTAAAAGCCTCGTGTCTTTCTTTCGTTTTTCGTTCGCATATCCAATCGCAATTTGACGGAATCACCGGGTGACGCAACTACAATATATAACCAAAATATAAATAAACCAAACAATCTAATAAGATATAATAACCAAAATGCAACAAAAGAATTCTAAAGGTTTAAGAGATTCGAAATGTTACGAGGCGAGCCGATAGAATCCTCATGGTTTCTTCGTTGCTTTGATTTTGGTCTGGAGATGGCGCTGTGCATCCACTACCTTGAGGGTTTTTTTCTTAATTTAATTATATATCATAACACACGCAAAAGACCATCTTTACCTAAAAGTAGTTATATTTTCTGCATTTTTATTTATTTTAAATTTATTTATCATATTAGAAATCTTTACCCATCAATTTTTGTCGCACTCGGAATGTACATATGGTGAGCATTGGAAATCGTACGAGTCCCCCTCATGCATGCATGCATGCATGCCATGGTACATTCTGTTTTGCCCACTCCAAAAACTAATTTTTTTAAAAATAACCAACGCATGAGAATTACATCCGATATAATGCTGTGAGCGAAACAGCAAATGAGTCAGCATAATTATATATATATATATATATATATATATATAATTTTATTTTATTGGTCAAACGAATCAGAGAGATCTTATATACAAAAATATGACAATTTTCTGATTATTGTACAAGTTTTTGCCAAGTTGTACTTTTTTAGAAGGTTACAAATTAAAATTTTACATGGAACGTTTCTTCAAGTTAGGGATTATATGAGATTAACCCTATATATTTTTCTTATAAAAAAACCCCTATATTTTTTTTTATTATTTTTGCACCTTTTTTCCCTACCAAAGGACGTCTCATCCGCCAATGAAGAGGTTTTGATTTCTATTCACAAAAGACACACAATTAGTTAAAAAACGATTTTATTTTTATATTATTCTGTTTTTATTTAGTTTTAATTTATTATGACATTACATTCTCTAATAAACTATCTACCTAAACTAACATAATTGTCAATTAAAGCAAAAAACAATTCTCTTATATAAATTATAGTATTCAACTTGATTTCTCTACCACAAAGATATGTTCCTATGTCGAGATATAGCATATGCAAAGAAACAATACACTACTAATACCCAATCATCACGTTAAACCCAAAAATCCAACATTCATAAATAAACCAATTCCTTCCACGCCATGTATTTGCACAACATTTTTTTATTCAAATAAAGTTGGAAACGTTATGTTGTTTATCTATTTTGTATTGTTTTCGTATATTTATTTTATTTTAGAATACACTTATTTGTATTATTTTTTTGAATTTTATTCTAGATAAAATTGAATCGAAAGATTATAGAAGTTTAAATTTAAAATTTAGTAGTGGTATATAAGTTGTAACTAAAGGCAAATACCATTCCTCGAAAATATTTGAGTTGGTACGTTTAGTTAAACTTTTAATTAGAAGTTTTTCCGACATTGTTATTAGGGGCGGCTTAAATCGGTTTCGGTTCGAGTTAGGTTCAGTTATATTCAGATTCAGTTATTTTGGTTTTAGAAAAACTACAACCGTTTGTTTTTACATTGAATTTGGTTCGATTCAGTTTTGTTATATTCGGTTCGGATTCGATTCGGTTTTTTCGGTTATAGAGAATTCATAACCATTTAGTTTTACATCTAATTCGGTTCGGTTACGGTTATGTATTATTCGATTGGAATCGATTCGTTTATTAATCAAATAAGCCACCCCTAATCGTTATTGCTTTAGATAATCTATTGGTTGATCATTTGGTGTCCTCATCTACGATTACTTTAGGGGTTTTCCACAAATCAAAAGGTAAACGTACCAAAATTAAATTATTAGTAATTTAACTGAAAAATCGGTTATCACCGGTTTGTGCCAAACCGAATCAATCGAATAAAACCGAAAATTGAGGAGAGTCTCTAACCAAGTGAGAGGCTTCACCCTCCATAACTTTTCCAACAATAATTAAGCGCTAATCTTGTATTAAATACACTGTCTATTCAAAACATATGTATTTGTCGACGGTTTTGGGTTTCATCGTTTCGACTCGATTTTTAATATCCTAAAAAGGAATCAGTGAGAACACATATTTGCTGCAGAAAAGGGCCGATGCCCATTACCCCACAACTGTATTGTTTGATGAACACTTTTATGGTTTATATAGAGTTGTTGTTTAATGGTCGATTATATAATTTAATTAATGGTTTTAGAACAATCTCTGCTTTAACTCAGATAAAAAAACAAATACAGCAAAACATATATATATATACACACACTAGAAATCTGGGGTTCACTGAGTCAACTCGTGTTCCAACTCACGATTTATCATTAAAAGAGAGAGAGAGAGAGAGAGACTAAAACAAAGCATAACCAACACATGAGAATTACAGTGCGATTCCAAAAAGCCGACAAAATTAAAATCGGCCATACATTAACAGCGGAACAGCATAGAAAATCGGGAGCAGCACAATATACTTATAAACATCCTCCTCGTCTCCTTGCTTGCCTGTGAGAGAGAGAACAAGAAGTCAATCAAATTATGACAAATGCTTAATTAATTAAACCCAAAATAAGATCAAAGTTCTTCAAACATTGTTATTTCTTCAGATTCGGAGATAATATTTTTTATTTTACCTTGGTGTTTTTGAGTCGGGTTTCGTGAGGTGCAGGTTACTTTGAACATCATCAAATCTTGGGTCTCCTTTGATATTTCCCAGAGCTTGCTCTTCATCACACGCATGTCCTGCCTCATCTCTCTCATCTGCTCATCTATTGCGTCCACCCGTTTCGTCAGGATCTCTTCAACTTCTCCACGGTTTCCTGTCTCCGTGACACGAATCTCGCGCGAACCTGGAAGAAGAAAACAAAAGAGTTGAAAAGAAAAAGGATGAACAAAAGAGTGAAAGAGGAAGAGAAGAAGGAGAGGAGGACCTTTGGATGAACACCAACCGCGGGATTGAGGAGAAGGATACAGTGACAGCATTCTCCCTTTCACGAGGCGAGCCGATAGAATCCTCATGGTTTCTTCGTTGCTTTGATTTTGGTGTGGAGATGGCGCTCTGCATTCACTACCCTGTGCTTTGGCTTATATATATATATATATATATCTTTGAGGGTTTTTTTTTCTTAATTTAATTATATATCACACGAAACACGCAAAAAACAATATTTACCTAAAAGTAGTTATATTCTCTGCATTTTTATTTTATTTTAAATTTATTTGTCATATTAGAAATCTTTACCCATCAGTTTTTTTCGCACTCGAATGTACATATGGTGAGCATTGGAAATCGTACGAGCCCCCTTCATGCATGCATGCATGCATGCGATCGTACATTCTGCTTTGCCCACTCCAAAAAGCGTGTATATCCAATTTTTTTTTTTAAATAACCAACTCATGAGAATTACATCCGATGATAATGATGATGATGATGATGATGATGATGTCCATATGATGATGATGACGATGATGATTCGGTACAGACGATGTCCATATTCCTATCAAATGGGCTGAAATATTACTAGGCCCAACAGCACAAGTAAGTGGGCCTGTGTGGAGCCCACTGACTAAACACACTTTCCAATCATAACGCGAAACATCATGATTCATGCATTCATACCAATCTCATGTTTTCCAATTTTCTTCCCGATGGAGTAAGCATATGACAAAACACCGATGTGTACATATACACACACATACATTCATACATAAGCAAACACACATGTATGCATATATATATATATATAGATAGATAAAACAGCGAAATCACTATATGTCTTACGTTTTCATATTAAACAGAAAGATCGAAAATCACGGTCTTCTCCCGGGCTTTCCACTCTGAAACTTGCTCAAGAACAAGAAATCGAGATTGTAAAGAACAGGAACCATGACGACGGAGCTAAAGAACACGAGCACGGGCCCGAAAACCCACATCATGAGAGGGATCGCAGTGTAGAAGAGCCGATTCCCGACCGTGTTAAGAACTAAACCCTTCTCTATCAACTCCGACACATACTCCGGCGTCACAAGCGCCGTCGCCTCCGCCTCCAGAGATTTTTCCGGCGGAGGAATCATGGGGACGTTGATGACGAAGTTGGCTTGGTTGAGGAAACGGATGGAGAGTGTGTGAGAGAAGAAGGAGAAGAGGAAGACGGTGAGGATGGTGACGTACTTGAGAGCCACCACGACATCACCATGTCCTCCGAATACGGCGTCGTTTATGGGTTTCTTCACGGAATATGTGCTGCTTATCACTGCCGCCAGCCCTGCGCTGAGTAGAATCGACGTTGTAGCCATTAACGTAGATCCCATGATGCAGTTTCTCAGCGTTTGGACCGCCAGTATGTTCTTCTTGTCGTTGTCCTACTTATCAAATTCCAATCAACATTGTAATAAAGTTCATGCATTTGATCGGCTCAACGAAAACATGGCGTTCAATGTTTCATTACAAGTAAGAAATCTTATGTTAAAACCACAAAAATTACATAATCACGATAGTATCGTTTTAACATGAGCATGTAAACGGCTGGTTTGTTAGATCATGTGATATATATACATATAGGAAGATATTATTCTTAGAATATTATCATTAATATTGTTATGACTTACCCTAAATATTATGTCTAGAATATTCTATTGTATTTTGCTATATACACTACAAAAAAAACATTAAATTCCAACCGGCAGATCCGTTGGAAAGGGCCGAAAATCCGTTGGAATTCAACTTTTCCAACGGATTTCCAACGGATAAATCCGTTGGAATATCGTCGTTAGAAATCGGTGTCCGTTGGAATTCCGTGGCAAATTCCAAACGGAATTCCAACGCACTCATCCGTTGGAATATTTCAACGGATTTCCAACGGTTTTTCCGTGGCATATTTGCAACGGAATTCCAACGGATTTGTTCGTCGGTATATATCAACGGAAATTCCAACGGACATCCGTGGCTATTTTCCGACGGGACCGTTAGAATATCCGTTAGAAATTTTCCAACGGATTTACAACGGGATTTGCCACGGATATCCGTTAGAATATCCGTTGGAAACGCCGTCGAAATGTTACAACGGTATTTACAACGGAAGTCCGTTGGAATTTAGAATTATTTCCAACGGGGGTCCGTTGGAATTGCCGTTGGAAAACACAAAAAAATAAATAAAAAAATAAAATAAATATTTAAAAATAAAATAAATAAAATATTTATTTTATTTTTAAATATTTATTTTATTTTTTTATTTATATTTATATATATTATATATTAATAAATATATATTAATATATATAAATAAATATATATATATAATAAAACCA